TTATTTTTATTATTTTTATTATTATTATTATTATTACATCATATGAACAAACATTTTGTCTACGTACAAAACCTAATAAATCGTTTTCAAATCTGGTCTGGATTTCAACGATGAGATAACTGGCTAATGTAAAACTAATGCAAGGACATCACAATTTCGATGCAAGGTAAACTGACTCCGATTTCAGCAAAACTAGCATCGATGTGAAGCTTGGTTTCTGTTAAGAACTGTTGCGAAAAATCATGCTTGACCTATGTCCGTAAAAGTGAGATATAGCCGTTTCAATTCAAGTTCCAATTCCCACGCACTCTGAAATTTGGGTCGAGCCACTTTAAAAAGCTCTTAAGTTGTGTCATATTCCCTGCTGCACGTATCATCTGCTCAATAAAATCCTCTAAACTACAGGGAAAAATTATTTCCCAATCATTTTAACCCGAGTTAATAAAAACTTTGGACAAAAAATTAGGCTGTTATCGGTAGAAACAGCAAGAAAAAGTCTTAATGCAAATGCCTTTCGTTTTGAAGCAGGAAGTCCAGAATTTTCTATACAATTGTCATGCCACATTTTTGCAGTTTAAAAGACACTCATTGAAGTTTATTTTGCGCATTCGGTAGCTGCAACTGAAATTTGTTGGTTTTTTTTCCTTGCTGGCGTTTAAAATCAGTCCATACCTCTTAAGATGTTGACCACCTAAATTTCGATCAACAACATTTTTGAATATTTCAAAGTGCACAAACGTTATGTGTGATGGAACTTTGTTATTATCATTATGACATGTTTTTTCTTTAATCAACAGGCCTGATAGCTGATATTGGTGGATCGTATCATCCTGCCTTCGTCACTGTTGGCGTCCTATCCTTTATCTCTTTTTTCCTGCCTTTTCTACTAAAATGCGTCAAGACGTCGAACAGAAAACAAGTCGACATGTCTTGTGAGAAAGAAGGAGATATTGTAGTTTACGAGAAAGTTACAGTTTTGTAGTAAGTTGATTGTGACACTCGCAAGCATCCCTGTTTGGAATTGTTTTGTGACTTGGAAGTCGGGATCTCCTAGGACTGAGGCCAAGAGTTAAAAACTAGTGCGGAAGAAACTTACAGAGGAAACAAATCAAAACACAGGGCTTCCAATTGAAACCAATGCCATGCAAAATTGCAATTTGGTTGCAGATGAGATGAGAGGTCAACAGTATACCCACTAGCCTATTCAATAATAATTTAATAACACTGAACACATTCATAAAAATTATCTTACTGTAACCGATGAGAAAATGTACAATTGGTGTGGAAGTGTTCAGCGGCATTGGTAAAAAAATTCCGCGTTGGTAGGGCACGGTTAGGCGCATCGCGCTATATATATAGCAAGAGAATATGAAGTTAATATTCTTTTGATATATAGTTAATGTAACAATGATTTACTAGGGTAATATGAGAAAAGGGAGGATGAATGTGTTTAATTATTAATTAATTGATAAGTTAATTATACAAATTGGTCTTGGATAACTATTAAACCATGGGACATTTGGCAATTTAGTTGTAAAAATAAAGAAAGCTAGGTAACACCGTCATAGTAGCCAGATTTTTTCTTCTTCAATATTTCAGTACTTGGATGGGGAAGAGCAACCGTTTTAGATAGCGCAGTTTTCGTATGACTGTGAAAAGCTCAGTGCCGTAAGCGTGACGTGCCGTGACCATGATGCTTTCTAGAATTTTAATTGGCTGATTTTTTTCACGCGCAATATAATTGATCTGGCATTGACGTGACCTTGGCGTGACCGTGTCCGCGCCGTGTTTATGCCGTGTTCCGGGTATTTGATTGGATGGAGAGTAAATTCTCATGCAATGTGGTTGATCTGGCTTATCCATTGCCGTGTCATGGCCGTGTTCGTGCCGTGAATCTTTCACAGTCATACGAAAACTGCACTACATGTTGCAGATCTTACAGTGCTAATCGAAAAACCGTGGGCACCTACAATATTTCGAGAATGTTTCTTAACCTTAATATTTCTAAGTGCACACTGTAAGCACATCCAGTGATCATTACATGCGATTCATTTTCGATACATTGGTTCACTGGTCAAACACAAAGTGCTCAAGCGAGGCGCCAAGGAGCTTTCAAAGGATTATTCAAATTTGAACCTTGCCAACCTCGACTGAATGTTTTGTGTTTGGCCAGTGAACCGATGTATGGAAAATGGTGAATTCCTTAAGAACAGCAGACAGTATTGTGGTTGACAACCCGGCATGGAGAATTAACTTTAGAATCTAGGTTTATTCTGAGCTTTGCGTTTGGCTAATATAATCCAATCGAGGGCGTTCGTTGCTTTTTCTGGATTCACTCCACCGGAATAATTCTGTTTTGCGCAGCTTTGATAGACGTCGAGAAAGACTCACCCAAAGTACCCAAGAATCACATACTTCGAAGCACACTGAGTAGTCAATACAAAGTGTGGCTGAATCAAAGTATGGTATAAACCGATACAAGCTAAGAATATCTCTGCTAACATATATCATATTTTTCTAAGCCTTCTGATTGCACAGATTACCGATGATATCTTTTCTTTTCACATGTGGATTTCCCAAGTCAGAGATTCATCGACAAGAACGCCAAGAATGTTTCAGTTATAAACTCTGTTAATGTTCGATCGCGAGACTATTAATCTTCTTGATTAGTGCAATCAAGGTGTAACTTTGTATATAGCATATGAGTAATTGTCATGACTCATATGCTATATATGATATCGAATCTACTAATAGGTTTTCATATCGCTCATTCAAGAAAGGCGAAGATCGGCAGCTCCATAAAGGCTAACTGCGTATTAAGCGTCTCCTTGACTCTTAATTTATAAAAGAAAAGTTTTGAATCGAAAACAGGAATAAAAATTTACCGGTAACAAGAAGTACGCGAAACTTTCTGTTTACAAGCGATTTACTCAAACAGTTTTTCATTTTCATTAAACGGTTTTTGATAGCAAACAATTTTTTTTATAAACGACAAGAGAAAACAGAGCTTTCTGTCTTTGGCCGCCAGACTTAACCGATTAGTTAACCCCGCTTTAGGTTTTAAATCGTTCCTTTAAACTAGCATATGAGTTACTGTATTGAGTTTATTTGTCGGTTAGCTTGCAAAAGAGCCGTAAGTTTCAATTTGTAAACTAAATTCCTATGCTGGTCAAAAAAGTTTGGTAAAAAGACTAGATATTAGTTTGTTTACATGCGTGGAGTTCACTTGTCAAACACGGATTATAAAGACAATAGAGGCGGTTTTTGTCAGTCTCACACTTCGTTCGAGGGATACGCTTCGCAGCTTCCCGCTCCCCGCTTTGCTCGGATGCATTCACCAATCAGAACTTGAGGAATTCTATTATCATTCAAATTTATGCCCACCCATTGAAATGTACGTGAGAATCTGAACTGTAAGTGCATGTCCCTAAAACAATAGGCATTCTGTGCCATGCTGTCAACAACAAATGACTATTAACTAACATCAAGAGAACATGAACTAAGAGAAGGAGTCCCCGTGCCCCATCATGTGCACACTTTGATGCTATTTTTAGAATCTATTCTAAAAATATCATCTAATGATATCATTTATTTGATCGTTTGATTTTCTGCACGCGCATGGTACGCGCGCGCTCTACGCTGTTTGCTAACGTTTTCTTGTGCTTTTCTTATGTTCAAATGCTGTTCAAATGTTCAAATCTACCCTCAAGATGACGATGTAGGTCGAAAGCTTAGGAAAATAAGTATAGGAAATCGCACGATCTCGAGTACAATTTGGAAATTAATAGACACGAGTAATGTTTTGAAAGTTCTTGCAATTGCACGAGCCTTTAGGCGAGTGCAATTACAAGAACTTTCAAAACACTACTCGTGTCTATTAATTTCCAAATTGTACGAGAAGATCGTGCGATTTTTTGTTTATAGTTCACTCAACAAAATTTCAGTAAAAAATGCGAAGCGACGCCGTCCATCTTTGTCTATTTGGCGGCCGATTTCCAGTCCATCGTGCAACTGAAATGCATAAAAAAGATTAGTTCTTACGGCTTTAGAATTTTATTTATGCTTTTTAAGTACAAAATGATAGAAAATAATTGTTTTGACATTGTTTTGGCCGTGTTGCCATAGCGACTTAATTCGGTACTCCTACGGAGTACAATTAACGCTATAATTGTACTCCTCTCGACCAATCAGAGTCGAGTAATTTTGTTGAGTGTACTATAAATGTAAAAAAGAAAGTYGAACAAATTACTACTTCAATTTCCTGTCGTATATACACATTCAGGGCAGAGTCGAAATAACGGAAAAACCCCAAAAACGTAAGCAAACATCGTAGAGCGCGCGCAGTACATGCGCGTGCAGAAAAACAAATGGTTTAAAAATAGCATCAAACTGTGCACATGATGGTTACAAGGCTACATAGGGGGGATTCCTTCTCTTAGTTAATTTTCTCTTGCTAACATATAAAACATATAATTTAACATATAATTTAATGAACAGGATAATTGTACACCACTATTTAAATAACATTGTAATCTTGATCATCATCAACATCTTCAATTTTATCACTATTGTCATAATCATTATCATGTAAAGGAAACATCTTATAGCTATAACTTCGCCCCCGAAATTATTCAAAAATTATTCAACATCCGTAAACTATGTCCCTCCCTTGCTAGAGTCCTGTACTGACTTGTTTCCTTTTACATGCCCTACTTCCTATACGTAGATAAGAATAGTTAGTCTTTAAATAAAGGACTTTCAACTTTTATTGTAAAACTTCCTGAAGAAGTCTACAGAGTTAGATGAAACGCGTAGGAGATACGAAATAAAAAGTTTCGACAACCTAACATCCTAAGTGCTGCTCACTGGTTCCTTTCAAAAAAGTTTCAAAAATTTTCAAAAAAATAGTCGTCAGTGAGGAGGAAATTTAAACCGATATTCCTCTTCCAATTCAGTATGTATCGCGATCAGGAAGACAGTCTATATCAAGCTGTTGTTACCAGTCATCGCAATGGCTTGTATAGGAATGTTTAGGTATCAGGTAGGTATTTTTGACATTAAGTGGGGGGGAGGGGGGGGGGGATCTTGAAATTTTGGAGTATTTTTGAAGCTTCCTCTGCACCCCCCCCCCCTGCGGTATACATAATGAATGCAGCCTTATGAGATCAAGGATGAAGACATACAATTAAGTTATAAGCAGCAGTAAGGGGGACTCGCGATCGATGTCGTATATTCACGGGTTTTACCCGCGTTATTCCGAACGCGCCGGCAGCGGGAAATACCCGCGCGACAAGTCCTTACTGCTGCTGTGTTGGGTACCGTAAACGGAGGTTAAAAAAATATCTTATAAATATACGATGCACAAATGTAAGAAGTTCGTTAACGACTTTTGCATAATTTGTCTAAGACCCAAAGTTAGCGTACCTAAGCCAGAACCCTTTTGGTGTTGTGGTAAGAAAATGCAAATAGAAGACGACACGTCAGCACAGTGTTACGAGTGTGGTAAGAATATTCGTAATGCCGTACCAAATGCTACCAGAGAGCA